ATTCCTAATTAATTAACAAATTAAACTAGGTAAGCTGTAAACTAGCATGCAAGCTAGGGACTGCCTCGACGCTGCTTCGGATGATGAATGATGCATGTCCGGGTTGTTTTGTGCGGAAATCCATTGCGATGCCCCAATTAGCCTTTGTTTGCAATTGTTCTTGGAATGCGTGCCAAGCTCCGGAAGGCTGCCGATTTTTGATTTGCTGCAACAGAGAGCAACAAAGGGGCATGGCAAAGTATTTTCACATATATATGCATGACTACTCTTCAGGGAGTGTAGTCATCGATCCTCGTGCCACCAATCACGCATCTCGATGCATGATGGCCGGGGAGTCGAATTGCATGACTCAATATGGAATGAATGCACATGAAAACCTAGACTCCATCATGGATAATCCGGAGTGTCGGCGACTGGGAATTGAGACACGTTCCGTCACTCGGAGTACGAAATGTACCTCGTTTCCCGTGCTCAGGCTAACTCCTATCCCAAGAACAATGCAATATGCATGACGTGCCTGAATGCAACTAATATACAACCTAGCATGCACAATGTTATGAGATGAAATGGCATGCACGATGCACGAGGTAACATGGCATACACAATGCTCTAACATAGAGCTTAGCATACACAATGCTATGAAATGAAATGGCATACACAATGCAATATGGGCTTACACCAACATGAGTGGACCTCAGCCGCACTCACATAGAAGGCCATTAGATGAAAATGAGACACTCGAGATGCGTGCACGCATGCACGCAAACCGAGGACCGATCCTAAGACACAAATGCCACTCTAACAAGACATGGAAAGGCATGGAATGTGGCTAGCATGAAAATTTCAGTAGCAAAATATGATGCAAAACAGCCTTGAAACATGGAAACATGGCACCCGATGCATGAAATGAGACCCGAAACTCAAAACTAGGTGCATGGAATGACTTATAGCTATACAAAGCATGCATTATTTGAATATGAAGAATAAATACAGAATCAAGGCAGTCCCAAAACATGCATATTTGCAGTTTTAAGCAAGGCCAAAAAGTGAACACAAATAGGGCTAAGTTAACATGCAAAAATGGCCCCAAAAGAGAGATAAAGAAGCAAGTAGCACCTGCTGGCCCAAAAAATGAAGATCCCTTCAACAAAGTTGAAGAGGGACTCAAAACAAGGTATTTTACAGTTTATGGCCGAGCCCAAACCAGTGCACAAGTAAGCTTAAAATACTATGCAAGAAATAGGCCTAAAAGAAGGTTTAAACACAAAGTGTAAAAAGGGAGCCTCAAACGGAAAAAGACCCTTGATCAAACATGAAGAGGAAGTCAAAATATGACTATTTTCAGTTCTGATTGGAGCCCAAAAATATAAGCACAAGGGGCTAACAAAACATGCAAAAATAAGGCCAAAAGAGGGATAAAGAGGCAAGTGACAAAAGGAAGCCTCAACCAGTGAAGATCCCTTCAACAATGTTTAAGAAGGGCTCAAAATAAGCCACTTTTCAGTTTATAACAAACCTCGAAACAATTTTAAAATGAGCCTAAAATACTATGCAAGAAAGAGGCATACAAGAGAGGTAAAGAAGCAAGTGTAAAAAGGAAGCCTAAAACAGGGAGAGGCTCTTAAACAAACGTGAAAAGGAGCTCAAAATAATGCTATTTTCAGTTAGGGTCGGAGCCCAAATATGCAATCAAGAGGAACTAATATATTGAGCAAAAATAGGGCCAAAGAGAGGGATAGAAGACTTACCCTTGAAGACCAATGCTTCAACAACTCTTGGCTTGAGAAAAGGTGCTCCTTGCCTCTGGAAAACCAGCTCCAAGTGTTGGAAAGGATGGTGGGGAGGTGGTGCTATGTGGTGGTGTAGAAAGGGGCCAAAAAAAACAAAAGGGTTTTAATGCTTGGAATATAGAGAGAGAAATTAAATGTAGGAGGCTTAAACAAAATTTTTTCTAACACAAAATGCAGCTGGAGCTGCTGGTTTTATAGAGGGAGGAATGGAGGAAAAGGGGGGGAAAATCAATTCAAATTTCCCCCAAAAAATAGGCCTAAAAGAGAGATAAAGAGGCAAGTGGTAGCTGTTGGCCTCAAACCGAAGAGAGTCCTTCAACAAAGTTGAAGAGGGGCTCAAAACAAGATATTTTACAGTTTATGGCCGAGCCCAAAACAGTGCACAAGTAAGCTTAAAATACTATGCAAGAAATAGGCCTAAAAGAAGGTTTAAACACAAAGTGTAAAAAGGGAGCCTCAAACAGCAAAAGACCCTTGATCAAACATGAAGAGGGGGTCAAAATATGACTATTTTCAGTTCGGACCAGAGCCCAAAAATACAAGCACAAGGGGCTAACAAAACATGCAAAAATAAGGCCAAAAGAGGGATAAAGAGGCAAGTGACAAAAGGAAGCCTCAAACAGTGAAGAGCCCTTCAACAATGTTTAAGAAGGGCTCAAAATAAGCCAATTTTCAGTTTATAACCAAGCTTGAAACAATTTACAAATAGGCCTAAAATACTATGCAAGAAAGAGGCATACAAGAGAGGTAAAGAAGCAAGTGTAAAAAGGAAGCCTCAAACAGGGAAAGTCAGAAAATTTGAATTTTGGGCTGCGTGTTCAACTTTCAGTTAATTTGTGGGCTGCGTGTTCACTATCTACTTGGGCTGCGTGTTCAGAAAATTTGAATTTTGGGCTGCGTGTTCAACTTTCAGTTTATTTGTGGGCTGCGTGTTCACTCCTCGCGATGGCTGCAAAAATGAGCTCATAATCATCAGTGAACAGAAGAGTGTCTAAACATCTGAATGATGAATGAAAAGAAGTGGAGCATACCGGCGGTGAGTCCGGATCAATGGCGTATCGATCACTGGGCATCGGAGGCTCTAGTGGAATCAGAGTCGGAGAGCTAGCCCCATACTGCCATGCCATCAACTCAGTCGGCATATCTGGCCATCCGACATGAGGATGAATCGACGGAGTCGGAGGAAACGGTCTACTCCCACCTCTAGATGCGCCAGCCCTGCTAGAAGAAGGGATGTCTGTAGCTCGAGCCTGAGCCTGATCCGAGGATGACGTACCGGCAGGCCTCATCATCGGGATACGAGCTTCCGTCAATGGAGGCATCAAATATATGTGACGGTAAGTGGCGTAGTCCCCCTCCTCAATGTATAGTAAAGCATCAGTGCCCAGCATGGCGCCGACTACCTCTGAGTAAGAGAGTCTGTCAGCGGTCCGCATACTGGCTTGGGGTACTGCGGGAATATCCTGAGAAAGATACCCCCATACCTGGCGCAGAAAGCGCTCTCCCAGGAACCATGCCCTGCCAACCGGCCCTTCAATCCGGTATACTGAAGACGGAGGCCGTCACCTAGGGACACCCAGGGCTGCCATGTAATCTGCGGATGATAAATGCATAAACCAATCAGAAATCGAGAATATACAGAGCAAATCAAAGATGAGAATGAAAAGAACTGAAAGTTCTGAAGTACCTCTGAATGTCGCACAGTGTTGAAATACTATCGCAGGCGAAGGAGGGTCTCTCGAGGCCTCGGCCGGTGCGGGCCCTCGAATATCAACGAATATGGGGTCACGGGAATCCCTACCACCTCCAGCTCTGGGGCTAATGATGAGAAGTATACATAAACCCATAGCTGAGAAAAGCAATGCAGAATGTAAGTACGAAATGCTGAGAGCAAAATACAGACTGTAAAAGTGTGCTGTGTGCAATGTACAAGTAATGAGAAGCAGAAATGTAAATCAAGGGGACAGAAAGTACCTCCCAGGCTCTCCAGTAACCGCCAAGTAAGTCGCCCCGTCCGCGGGAGGTCGCGCTCATATAAAAATAAAGGGTAGCCAGGCCGGCGCCACCCCAGTCATAACGATGGACCTGTGATAGGTCAACCAGAGCGCTCAGCAGGTATAGCCCAATTGTGTTCCCTCTGTCGGCAAACAGGGTGGTCCCGAAGAGGAACATCAGGAAACCATGGGCATACTGCTCCGTCTCCTCGGGAGTCTCAGGCACCATCTCCGCCCGCCGGAAATGGGAGGAGAACCAAGTGTATCGGACTCTCCCTGAACCCCTATCAACAGGTGGGCGAGCCCCCAACAGATATGTCCAGGCGGCCTCCCACTCGCCCATATCCTCATCGTAGGGGATGGACCAACCTCCGACGTCTAAACCGGTCAATACAGCGAAGTCAAAAGGGGTCATGGTCATATCCCCGGTAGCAGAGAAATGAAAGGAATTGGTGGTGTCCCACCATCTCTCTACCAGAGCTGCCATCAGCGTCCTCCTGGCAGGACAACGTGACAACCCGACGCAGAAGGGCCCGAACCCTGCCAAGTCGACTAAGTCTCGAACACCCTCCGGGAGCTCAGCGTACCAATCCCTCGCGGCAGTGGAACCATACCCTCGCACACTGCGGGAGCAAACCTGCATTCAGAATGAATACATGTGTCAATAATGAGATGAAATAGGCTGTGTGCCAATGAAATGGATAGGCTGTGTGCCAATGAGATGAAATGGGCTGTGTGCCAATGAAATGAATGGGCTGTGTGCCGATGAAGTGAAATAAGCTACATGCAAACTCTATCTGCCTGGGCTGCGTGTTCAGAAAATTTGAAGTTTGGGCTGCGTGTTCAACTTTCAGTTAAATTGTGGGCTGCGTGTTCACTATCTAATCTAGGCTGCGTGTTCAGAAAATTTAAAGTGTGGGCTGTGTGTTCACTTTCGAATTCGGGCTGTGTGTTCGACAAATCAGTGTTTGAGCCGTGTGTTCTAATGTGGGCTGTGTGTTCACAATTAATTAGTGAGCCGAGTGTTCAGAAATTCAATGTTGAAATTACACGTTCAAGATGTAAGCAAAGTACTATGTCATAAGCTAAACTGCATGTTCAAGCATGGCAAGGGTGCGAAATGTAAAATACAGAAGATGAGGTAAATACATCTCGGGCCTCGTGAGAGAGATGCTGCTCCGGCTCTCTGAGAAGCAGATCCACGGGTGCTCGCTCGTCAAAGCTAGTAAAATGACGAAAGACAGCACGCGGAAGGACGTGTGCTGGCGGACGGTACCTCCCGAGAATGAAAGGTCGGGTCCTCGGAGGTAGAGTCATGGGATCGAAATCATCTCCGGCACCTGGAAAACCTCCGCCGTGGGAAGAAGTACCCGACACAA